CTCTTAATAGATCTTTCCATGTGCACAACCTCTTCCTAGCAAAATCCAGCTAATAAATGCTTTATTAATTTACATGAGTTCAACTGAGATGCAAGCAAAATTATCTGTCAAAACATAATTTACATATTAAAGAACAGGCAGCCATTTGCTCCATTGAAGTGCACTAGGTTATGTTCTATCCAATTGCCCACTCTGGGTCTAGCTTTCTTCTGCTTGGGTTGCAACTACTGTGGACTGCCTAGTTTTCTAAATATCAATTCAACACTCGGGAGCAGTCAGAAAAAAAAAATAAATCATATATTAGGAACTTACACAGTTCGTAGCAAAGAAGACCATTATGTCACTGGATAAACCCATGGTTTGCTCTACGCTCCTTATACCCTGTGCATCGCTACCACTTCATTGCAAAAATGATAGGTTCAATGCTCAGACAAGGGTAACAAGGATGAGCCCAGGTGAGGAATTATGGTGGCTTCCACCATGAGGACAGCATTACCACTGTACATCTCCAGAGCCCCTGTAAATTCTTCCCAAGTTTTATTTTCCTTGGACACAAAGCATGGACATGCGTGTACTAGCACCAAGACCAGCACCACAAGTATATCGTGTCTTGCACCCTAGCCTTCAGTGGGGATTTCTCCAGTTGTCCCCAAAGTCACAGAGACCGATACGATGCACTCAGTGTGAGGGCACAATCAGCATGCAGGAGAAAGCCAGAAGGCCCTGACACCCTTCCTGACCTGTGATTTCATTTGTGAGGTGCGTGGTGAGAAGTTATTCCTTAACTGCAAGATTCAGCCTTCCTTCTCTTCTAAAGGATTGAAGAAAGTAGACTATGTTGAAAGACAAGTTCAACAAATGCATGATAGGGTTCTTGGGCGTTTGCTTGGCTGTGCAGTTGCCCTCAGTGGGCATTTTGCTGGCTCTCACACTCTTGCAGAAATGGGCATGTGGTCAGTCAGGCTGAGCTGCAAAAAGAGGACACAAAGGAGAACGATACAAGACCCTTTACAAGGTAATGGCTATTTTTCCTGTTCTCCTGCTTGAATTACAGTTAAAGAATAAATATCCTATTTATATTTATCCTAGAATAAATAACCTATATTATTCTTGTTTTGCATACTGTTCTTTTAAACCTTCAGTGTATTTTATACATATAAATGTAAATATGTTTATATTCTACATGTAAATATAAATATGTGCACATGCACACGCAGAGACACAAGACTACTGGAAAATCTTCTGTCAAGATCCCCACTAGTGAAAAAGCATTAGAGCCACCATCTTATGCAATAGTTTCCACTAAAGGGACAGCTGAGCAGGCAGGGACTTGTCAGCCTAGAAAAGACACAGTCCGGGCAAGCAACACATGGCAGAGGGCAGTAAATTAAAGGGTGTCTTCAAAAAGGTAGATAAAAATTGACTGTTTGCTGATTTCTTCCCGTATGAGAGCTGGGCGGCACCAAATGAAATTTGCAAGAGTGAGGCTCAAGAAAAATAAGAGAAATAAATGCTGTGTGTGCTACAGAGCTCTTGAGAAAGGATATTGTGAGTGGCAAAAGTTTACATGGGCTGACAAAGAACCTGTACAAGGCCTTGAAGAGAGAGGCATTTAGGGTTACAAAACAGAAAAAGGGGGAAAAAAAGTCACATTTGTGAAATCTCCCAAGCCAAAAATGTTGGGAACTGGGAGAATATTTGGAGGAATTATGTTCCTTTCCTTGTTTCTTTGTCTTTAGTCTTCCCTGTGCATCTGCTTATAGACACATGGATAGTAGACTCAATGAACCCCTAGACTGAGACAGGACAGATGTTCTAAAATTCAGGAACTGGGTGTCTATCACAAGAGGATCTGTCTGTGGGTTGTATTTATGTAGAGCCCTAACAATTAGAAACACATCAGTCAATAGATGGGCATAGATTTTAACTCAGACTTCTCAAACCTAGAACTAATGTTTTAACCAGACCAGAGCTTTCCTCTCTGATACAAAGCATCCCGGTGCATCAAGTCTTTTTCTGGAGGACAAAGTATCCTGAGATGTGGCTCACAGATCCAACAGTTCACAGATTTACAGTACATTAACTATGGTCATGGGAAAATGTTGGGTTTTTCTTCTATAAAGAGGGTCTTGTGTAATATGTAAATGCCATAAGGGATTAGCACAAGATATTACTTTTGCAGCGTGTGAAAGTACGTTGTGCCAATTCTCAGAACGTCCAGCACCAGCCAAGCCTCATGACAGACCCAGAGGCACAACTCTCAATCCAACTGCCCATTAGAGATGGCCAGACCAGCTGAGAAGCCAGAAACATATGCTAAACCAGCATTTTGCAATAGATATCTTCATAGACCAATATATCTGAGCTAGCCCTGACAGAAAACAGCTCAGGCAGAAAATCCCCTTTTTTCGTAACATATTTCACAAAGACTCTGTCCTTATAGAAAAGTGCTACAAAATTCAAATGAGACGAAAGCTCATATGCTTCTGTAAAAAGTTGCTTTCATCACCTATAAAGCAAAGACTTTTGTTTGTGTTTTTATTATGTTGATGCAGAGGTCTATAAAAAGACAATAATGTTTTGATTCAATGGTAAAAATAAATAAACAGAACAGTAGATATTTTCCAGATCCTGTTCCAGAGGATTCTATATGAAGACAGCATTATTTTTCAGATGGTGAAAAAATGTGATTAAAGAGGAATTAAGCTCCCTCTGTATAGCTTATAAAAGTACGTGCAATACTATCACAGAGTACATGAAATCAGGTAGGTTCTCTGGGACTGACAAAAAATGTTACCATGTTTTTCAATATACAGGAGCTAATGTTTTCTAAAAATATTAGCTTATCTGATGCTCTAATGCATCCAGCATCCTTTATGCAAATAACTTTCTCTTGATATCTTTTGATGAGTTAATTCTTACTGTTAGTTGTGAGAAGAACCATCTAATAAACAGTCATGTAAAGATGATGAAGCCTCTACAAAAGTATTTTTGAGCCTGGTATCTATTCTGCACTCTATATATCGAAGTATAAAGGGACTAGAAGATGAAGCCAGGTCAGGAATGAGAATTTTATTACTTATGCACAAACATGCCAGTGTAAACTAAGTGTATTTGTTAAGTCTGGGGTGTTTTTTTTTGGTCAAACTACAGAATAGAGGGTTACCCTTTTTGTACACTTGAACAAAGGCTTTTAAGGACTGGCTTAAACGAGTAACAAGCTGCCTATTAATCCCCCAAATGATGATACAGCAGTTCTCCATATTTAATCACCTGCTCTCTGTTGATATTTATTTTTGGGGGTGGTTGGGGCTATAAAACGGTGTACTGAAGGTCAGACATCTCCCAAGTGAAAAATGCTAACAAGAACCGTGAACCCTTTTCCACATTTGAAGTTACTGAAAAATTACGAAAACAAAACAAAAAAAAGGGGTCGGGGGGAAGTCCAGGAGACCACAAACTACAGAAGAGAAACTTGCGGGATCAGACACAGTTTAAATAACCTTGTTGAAAACGTACGGTAAAGCTTAAATATAAAGCAAAACTTAGCGTTGCATAAGAACTCGAACAGGAAGGGGACTGAAAAACAACTACGAGCAAAAAGGGAAATGAATGAGTCTATCTGATCTTTCCAGCTGACATAAATGTGAACACTAAAAAAAAATAAAACAGTGACAACTAATTTGTGATGTAAAATTATCCCTGTTTTAATTAAATTAAAATAAATGAATATAATTAATTATCTAGGTTGGGAGACGCATCTACCCAGACAGAATTCCTCTCTTAGACCCACTGAGGGGAAGGAGGTGGATCAGGCTGACCTAAATTTGGTTCACTGAAACTAAGGGTAAGATTTTCAATGCTGTCCAAGAGATTTCAACTATATCCCATGTTCCGACTCCCTGGCTATGATCCCTGGAGCCTTGAATGACTTTTCTTCCACCTATACTATTTTTCCTGCTGTGGTACAGCATGTGAAGCCCATATGCTATGATTTTATTTGGGTTGTCTACTTGTTAACGACATTATATCAAGTAAGGTGCAGGTCAGAAGTTACTCTCATGCTACTGCCCACCATATTTTTTTGATTCTGTGCTCAGCGTCCTTTTGGAAGTTCATGAAATGGAAGCAAGACGGCTTCTGTTTCTGCTGGGTTTAGTCCCTACCCTGTATTAAAAATTGTAATACAGAGCTGCTGTTCGGGTTATGGAAGAACAGCGTTTCTGATATATTAAACAAAGACAGCAGACTTTCCAAGATTTTTTTTATGTAATCTCCTGGCCTGCCAAGTGGCCCAGCACATGGTGTATGCAGATGCACTAGAAGACAGACAACTTTCATACCATAAATTCCTTTGCTGCTCTTCTGCTGTGAATGACAACAATATTTTCCACTCATTTCAATGGCAACAATTCCAGTCTTATCACAGATTGCCAGGTTAGTAACTCATGCTTAACAGGAGTTTGAGAATAACTTTTTCTGACCCCCTTTTCCTTTTTGTTTCTTTACTCAACAACCCCCCTCTCCTCCCTTTTTTTTTTTTTTTTAAAAAAAAAAAAAAGGCAATTTGCTTTCTGCCATTTGGTTTCTCAGCAGGGCTGTTATCAGCACTAGTCACTAAGGGAGGACAGCTGGCAAGGGGGAGAAAAAGTCAGATCCTTAAGAACATAACCGAGGATTTAAACATGTGAGCCTGCGCCGTAAATTATTTTGTTATGCAATTTGTATCAAACTCACTCTGTAAGTCAGGGGTATACCCTGCAGCATGTAAAGTTCATGGAAACCGACAAATAAGAGCCAGAAGCACACGCTTCTTCCGATAAAGCAAACGATGAGCCCATTTGTTGCAGAGCGGCGTTTGTAATTCTGAGAACTCTCCCCTCATTCTGAAGCAGATAAAGCGGTTTGCAGAAAAAAAGACGAGACTCACAGCTGGAGGAAACACAGGTGTCAAAGTCTGTTGTTACCGCTTTTGTTGTGGCTCAAAACAGGCAGGCATTTTGATATGCAAGAACGACCAAAAAAAAAAAAAATGCTTAGTCTAAGTCAGCCCAGGCTTAAATGGGTTCAGCAGCCAGGTGGGTCATATTTTCCTCTTGCTTATTCTTTGTGTGAGTAAGTCTTTCCTGCTGAAAGCAACCCAGATACTGTACGCAAGATGAAGATCTGGACCACTGGTTTCAACCCGACTTCAGCAGCAGTTTCGGATCTGGCTTCAGTAGGAACTGCCCTTAGACTCGAGCTGAATTTGACTCACCTCAAGGAAACTTTTTAAGCCCCCTTTGCTGGTTTTGCTGCCTGGGCATTACCTTGCTGGCTTGCTCTAACATAGTCAGCAGCACAGTTTCAAACTGAAGGCACCAGTGTAAAGGGGAGCAGGAGCTTCCTGAAACCACTGCCTAAGAAGTCAGCTTGCCCCACGTACAAACAAGTTGACACCATTACTGATCCCCCCCCTTTGGTTCAAACCTGTACTAACTAGCAGACCTTGACAGCTGCCTCTGTTCTTTCCTATTACAAGGCTCAGAGGAGAAAGTTGCAGGGAATCACACTCAGCGCTGGCATCCCAATGGTTTAATTGAAGATGAACACTTTATTCAACTCTTGTCCTTTTCCCTGGGGTGGCCAGCATTGCTTCAAATGCCTGCTGACTTAAATGGTGACAGCTGCAGGACACAGACTCATGTATCACAAGCTGCGTGCAATAGGAGATAGCTGAAGGGCAGAACTTCAAAGACGCTGGTTGTAACCACCCGGACAGCGCAGGGCTGCTGCCACTGCCAGTTGGTAGCTCCAAGCTCAGATGTGGGGCCGTGGCCTCACAAGCAATTGGACATTTGCCACATCTTGGAGGTGCTGGATATTTATCCCAGAGAGAGGCCGGAAGACAGAGGTGAGTACAGTGCTAACTGCTTTAACTCTTATCAGCTTTGTTTGGTTCCCCCAAAACCTGATGTACACCAACATGGGGATTCTTCTCTTTTGAGGAAGGAACTGCAGAAGAAGTGACCTGATTTTTGCTTGCTTCCTCCAACACATCAGCTTCAAAAGATATGTTGAAACTCTTGAGGAATAAGAACAACCACAGTTTAAATATTATTTTTTGGCACCTGAAGAGCAGCTTGCAATTCTTCCGACTTCACAGGAAAATTATCCACATCCTGATCAACATCAAAAACCTCAGGCACTATTGGCTGAGAAAGGCATACTGACCTCTAACACTGAATTTGGATGTATGATTTATTTTCATACACATGGAGATTCTAGACTCTACAGGGCAACATAGATTACCTGGTGTATGGTAATAGTGCTGAAAGGGTACATTACTTACCATGCTTAGAAAATGCCTTCACGGGCCTTGCCAAATCGCTTTCCACATTTCTGTCGTTACATATGAGATGCAGACCTCCTCACCCACGTACATTTTATGTTTCTACAGGTTGGCATCAGGCCTCTCTCTTGCTCTGTGACCTCTCCTACTAGTTTCCCTTGGCAAAAAGGGCTTCGGGGAAAGACGTAAGGCTGCTCTGCAGCTAGAAATAGTCTATTAAGTTGGGCCCTCCCTCAAAGCAGCTGGGTTGGAAGGTGCACTTTCCCTGGCTGCAGCCTCACCTCATTTACTTCCATCCCAAAACCAAACCCACAGAGAAAAAAGTTGAGCAGCTTCTCTTCTCACTGCTGGAGAAGGAAGGAACTACAGTAGGATTAAAAACAAACATCACAAACACAGTATTTAACTGCAGGGCCACAACAAGAGCCCTAGGTTCTTGTTTCCTTCCCAAGTTCTGCTTCTGGGATCATGTCGTTAACAATCTGCCAATGTTCCAAATTAAGAGCAAATGAAAGGTATAACAACCACAACTGGTGGCCTAGTGTTGCTGGATGTTTTGCATAATTTACTAGCTCCCCTGCCCCTTTTCTTTTTCCCTGCTGAAAACAGTGGGTTAATTCACTCAGTCACATAGGGCCTGCAGAGTTGTGGTCCAGATGAAATTGGATCTCAGGAGTCTTCCATAGGTTCTTCACCCTGTAAACTGTTTTGGACCAATTTCTTCAGGAATCCACATGGTTTTGTATCAGAGATACTGTCCAACAATGGACCTCTGTGGATGCCATATTTTTCTGTGATCTAAACAGGGGCATGTTCTGGAGATATGTTGTAATTTCTGGCACAGTACACTTGAACCACGTCTTGTTCCCACAACATACTGGGCAATTCTGTTTAATTCTGATGCTTAAGCTCAGTAGAATGCTTGTCAGCAGGTATAGGTGTCACAACTCATTAATGGATAGCTTATAGCACATTTGCCAGTAGAAAATGAACTCCTTTTACCATTTCTGCCCAATCAGGAAGATTCTTCTTGATTCAGGTAGAAAGGAGCTATGACTACAAGCACAGGCACCAAGAGACCTCATTCCAAAATCAACACAAGCGGTTAGGGTGAATGACACATTACTAGTGGAGCTTGAAGAACACAGATATGCTGACTGGTACAAGGCACATTGGACTATGTTTGTTGATCTCTTGCAGGGTGAAATTTTGCCTCCAGTTAGAGCTATACAGCACTATTATTTTAGACACAAGCTCGAGCCACAGAAGGGTGTCTCCACAGCAGTACAAGGGACAGAGAAATCCAGGCAAAGATTTCTCGTGGCAAGGCATGATAGTGGGAGCAAACATCCCTGCACTTCTTTTGTCTTTGCAGGGCAAGGAACATTCCACCTGTCTGCCAAATTCCAGGAGGCTGGAAGCATGCTGGAAATCATACCACCACGACTGCAGCTGAGGGAAGGTCTGACTTAAAACCTTGCCACAATGAAAATCCATCTACCAGTATTGGTCACCAGTACCTTAACAGGTTCTAATATCAGTACAAGCAGCAGAAATTTGAAGGCATACCAGAAATTTTAAAGAGTGCCTACTAACTTCCAGAACACTAACAATGCAACAAGGAATAATAAAAAACTAACTGGTATACTTGCAAATAGTTTTCTATCTTCAGCTGACGAGCTAGGCGCAGAACCCTTTTGGCCACACGAATGCAGTGTTATGACACTAGGAAGAATCTTTTAAAAAGTGAACCTTAGAGACCCAAATTTCAGAAGGCAAATTATGAGAAAAATATATCTTTCAACTATGATTTTTTCAGGCAACTTATGACTGGAAACAATCGGAGCTGGTCGCACTGCAAGCTGTTGTAAGTCTGTGCCATTCCGCATTCTGTCCTCAGGCAGCCCTATCAGTAAGGAGGCATGTTACAGCTTTTTATTTATTCTAACCTGCTTTGTTGTTTTCTGCAGCAGCAGAGATCATTAAGAAAGAAGTTTCTCAGATACAGAAAAACATAACCCAAATTTTTAATGACCTCTCTAGTTCAGCTCCCCGCTGCATATGCAGCTAATTATTTTTCACTTGCACATTTCCTAGGCCTTTCTTCATTCTGATCAGCCATGGAAACTAAGAGCTACTAATAAAAAGTGACCATTCCTCTAAAAATTGTGGCACCTGGGGAGAGGAGGTACTACATGCTCAACCTGTGAGGCATTCTGCTCCTAACCTTTGAAAGGTCTGAAGACAGAATGGAGGTGTCATCTCCTCTACAATCAGATTTCCCTGTTCAGATTTGGGTTCCAAACCAAGGCAGGAAGAGCAGGAGTGAATACTCCTGGGATTTCTGAGCTGCACCTGGCTATGCCTCCTTCGGCATTCATTCCACACACGCAAGTGAAGAGGACAGAATTTGAGACAGAGGAGGCTCTTTCAGAGCAGAGGGGAATTTTGCAAGTGTTCAGGGGAATAAAAGTAAGTCAGAAGCATTATAACTCTGTCAATAATGCATTATACTTGAAAGGGCCTGGGTATATCTATCACTTAGCAAGTTACAGTCTCCCTTTTAAGGGAATCTCTGTATATAAAACCCTTACCTGATCTGATGGACCAGTGCTTTCAAACTAGTCAGCACCTGCTCTCAAACTTGATATACTCTCAAACTGTTTTAAGTGAAGCCAAAGGATCAAGACTTAATTAGCAGTGAAATACTTCTTATACCGATCAGTTTGCTCCAGATCTCCTGAGGGACATAGATTTGTCTCTATCTGGAATCTCCACCCTACCCTCAGCTGCTTGTTAGGAGGTTTGCATTTTGTCATTTGGCAGACACTTACCTGCCGCGTGTGCTGCGAAGGAAGAGTGCTTTTGGCAGCAGAGGCTGCACAGCTCTGGAAGAAGGGGAGGCAAGTTGGAGCAGCTTCATCTCTTAAGAGCGTCCCAGCTCTGCCAAACCAAACAAGACAAGGTGACATGCTTTTCTTGCTGCTCCTTCGTAGACAGACTCATTAGTTATTTGTTGGTCCCATAAGTTGTGGGGATTTTTAATTTTTCCTTTTTTTCCTGCAGGGATAACAGTCATTCAGGTGTAATGCTTCAATTAAAAGGCTTTCCTTCTCTGGCAGTCACAGCAGTGAGAGTCACACCTCTGCTTAGGAAAAAAGCTTTGCTTCCAGCAGAAGCACTAAAGATGAAGGTGCAGTCATTAAGGGTGGGATTTTCACAGGTGTTTGATGGTATCAGGTGCCCAATTCAGTCTCAGGTTTTTGCATTTTAGGCAATATAAAGCTACAAAGTGTTGTCAGAAGGGAATGATGATACAAAAATTGAGGTGATAGGAGTCCTAACACCTTTACTGAATGGTTCCAGTTAATAACAGAAGGAACAAAGCAAACTCCATCACACTCTAGAACAGCTGGGCCCTGATGCCTTGCATGCTTGCTGTGGCAAGGACACTTTTTTGGTCACTTAGATAACACAAAGTGAGCTAACCTTGTCATTCCCTTAATTTTAACAAGTCTCTAAACACATCTGTCTAAATATCCATCACCCGGAGGGGAAAAAGAATATATTTAAAATATACAATGAGTGCCAAATCTAACTCATCAGTCTCTGCTGGGATTCCTGAGAGTCTTGGGAGGTGGGACCTGAAGCAGTTTATTTTGGCATCGTTCTCAGCTAGGGAATCTTTTGATAACAGTGACTCCGGAATGGACCTATGCTTTGAGAAGAAAGCGGGGTAAGCATTAATGGGAGAGCAGAGGGAAGTCTTATACTGCAAATGCTGGGAAAAAGTGACAAAATTCATCTGACTTCCACTGCTTTTCTTTCAAGGACAAGAAGAAGGAAAGAAAAGGAATAAAACACAGTTCAAAGTTCCAGTCAAAAAAGAAATGAGACAAAAAAGTGAGAAAGTCCTTCTCATCATCGAAGTAATCCTTCTGACTACACAGGGATTGCACTTATCACACCTTAGGTGCTTTGTCCAGCATCCCCTTCAATCTCCAGACAGAAGGAAACTATACCAGTCTATAGGTATTGGTTTTGAGATGTTTTTCTTTGAATAAAAATGTTTCCATCAATAATTTCAGGCTACTGGCACTGCCTCTCGTAGCTCTGCCCCAGGATTCAGCCCAAGGAACAAGAAACAAAGGAAATAAAGAAAAAAAGTACTCTTGTAGTAGGAAAGCTTATATGCCTTTTGTCTTCTATACACATTTTATGGTTGCAGTTTTTTTTAAAACACTGTTTGATCTGGCAAGCAGTCCTAAGGTCTTACTAAAGTTCTGCTTCCCTTTCTAAAGCATGAAACCAACAGAGTAATCAAGGTAACCATCAGTTATCTATCACTTTTTTCAAGTCGTAGCTGCAACTAGGATGTCAAGAAAAGAACTGGGCAAAAGGGTTTTCAGCTAAATGTGGTTTCTTATCTTCCCACAGCTACTTTAAACATCAGGGCAACGTTTTTATCTTTGTCTGGGGAAGGGAAAAAAAATAAATTGTTGCTAGATTTAAAAGTCTTCCAGAGTAACCGGAGAGATGTCACTCAGGCATTCAGCTGGGCTGTGGCAGATCTGGGACCCATCTCCTCCTTTGCCTGAGCCAGTGCACACCGGGGTATTAACCTATCTGCCAGGCTGTCAGCCTGGGGCCTAGGGTCAGGCTGTCTCCATCTCTCCTGCTGAAGCTGCTCTACTTTACATAGAATAAATCATTCATTAGGGCTCAGACAGTGCGCAAAACAACTTCATCACTGAATGGTTAGGCGAGTCATGGGGGATGCAGGCAAGGATTTCGGTCCCTGCTTCAGGAGAAGCTTACTGCTCAGATTAAGTAGTCAGTGTAACACAGACCTCATTTGTCCGAGGTGAGTGCACTAAGACACAAAATGATTCCCTCCATGGCCTCCAAAATATTTCAAGTATTATCCCAGTAAAAGCAGAACAAGAGGAATTACGAACGTCTCTCTCCTCCACCTAAACAAAAGCCCCAATATCTGAGTGATAATGATTTAAATGTCCTCAAGCTGAGGAAGGAATTTAACTGTGGCCTCCCACATACAAAATAAATGCCATAATCACTGGGTTCTTGCAGGAAAGCATTTACATCTATTTTGTCATTTCCTCTCCTTGAAAGCGGCATAAAACAGAACATACATTTGATGCTATTTTGTGCTGAATGAGAAAAATCCAGTGGAAAAAAAATACTACCCCACTGAAGTTAACTTTTAGTTAAACTCAACTGAATCTCTTTAATTTTTCCCATTTAGCCACCAACCAACGTGTAGTAACAGTGGTTCACAGAGGCATAGCCCTAGTCTTTGTTAATCAATGAGGTGATTTAACTAAAACCTTTTGTAAACAATCAGTTTGAAAAGCCAACACTTTCCTGTGTTGGAATATCCAGCCCTTCTTTCTTAGGGACTTATGTTTGAACACAGGAATTGAAAAAAAAAAAAAAAAACAGAAAGAAAAAAAAAAGCAGTTATTGATTCAATCTTGTCTTGTTCAGTCCCAGCTTGTAAGGAATTTCATTTAATTAAATTGGCTACAAATGTATAAAAATATGTGCATATATGTGTGTGTGTGTTTGTATTTTGCTTTGAAAGAGGGAGATCAGCTAGGAACTCACCTGTTTCCCACCAGCAGCACCAGGTTCTCAGACTTATGCAGTCCCCATATGTATTGCCTGCAAGTGGTTCACCAGGGCACTGGGTTAAGCCTCCGTCCCATCAGCCAGGCAGGCTTGCACACCAGTGTCCTAGGATTTCACCTGTAATGTTGGAAAAAAAAAGGAAAGTTCTTAATTTTTTCAAGAGCTATGGGCTACCCCTTCACGTTTTGTCTCTTATTTTTGACATCTTCATCATGCCCTCTCACACCTGCTTTTCAGAGTCCCTACCTAGGATCTGTCTCGGTGACTCTCTGCTGTTGACCAATTTGGCAAGACACCGAAATCCTCATCCCCCACTTCTAGATTCACCCACCTGAATGGCATCTTCAAAAAAAAAAAAAATTATAAAGCATTCCTTATTCATAACTGGGCCAAAGGTTCTTGCCATAGGTACTGACAATGTCCATCTCATTTAATTAGAAGTTTTATACTTGGATAATGAAAGGTGCCTGAAAACATGCTCATTTATTAATCGTGACAGGAATAGGGTTGCTACAATCCCTACCAGGACAACCATAGGAAAATTTGCCTTTTTATGCTCTGTTTTGTAGTCCTCCATCTCTCTAGAAGGAGAGAGAGTATGGAGAGTCTTGAAGGATGTGTCCTTTCCTGGAAACAAAGGAAGGTTTCTGGAAGATGACTGACGTTATCCTCACTGTCCTTTTTCACTATAACTAAAAGGAGTTTCTTGGCATGTGAATAAAACAACTGGCCGTAGTTTACAAAGACTATAAAGACCTGAAGTTGAGCTTGCTGAAAATTGAACTTTTCAGTCAAAATTCTTTTGTATTTGAAATGATGAAAAGAGGAGAAAAATGAAAGTGCCCTGTCCCTTCAGGAAAGTCGGGGCTCTAGGAAAGTCGGAGCTGGCATCCCCAGGGGCAGGTTGGTGGGACTCTGGAAGGCAGACCAGCAGGACAGCCAGCACGCCTGCCACCCCATGTGTCAATGAACTCAATGGGTTCCTGGAAAATAATCTGATTTCCCCCAACCAGCCCTTCCTGACAGCAAAGTGTTGAGTTTGAACGCTTGGGCTGAATTTCCAAACCACCCTTGCTTCCCAAGCACCCTTTTTCTGCATTCCTTTTTCCCACGTTGCATGGGCCATACGGGACATAAAGGAACTGGGATTGGTGGATGCAGTTCCTTTAACAGCACTAAACAGTTCAGATCCCCTTGAAGGACATCAGAGGGTTTATCACAGTGCGTTTTGGTGGTAGGTGTGTATGTTTGCGTGCAGATGCAGACCCGTTTGTGGGTAAACAGAGCGGCAGCGCTGCCCTGAAGAGTCCTGTATTCTTTTAAAGCTTTTACAATCTTTCAACACATCTATCACATAACTCTCCCTCTCAGCATCCCGCTGACCTCTGCAAACTCACGAGTGCTAACCCGCTTCTTTACACCTGCTTGCTGCAGCCATTCGTCCCTTTAGGGCAGCCGTATCGGGCACGGGTGATGTTTGTATGCTACGGACTGAGCTTCAGCAAACCCAAAGGCATCGGTGAGCTTGTGGTGTTACCAGAGAGACCTTTGAAACCTGCAGGCAGGTCTGCTGAGCCACTTTTTTTCCAGCCACTGCTCGCCTGTGGCCTGTGGTTATTCACCATTTAGGCCTATTGAGCAGCAGGACTAAAACACAGAGGCAGTAAATCCTGCTGAAAGCCCCTCCATATATGACACACTTTATTATAAGAGAATAAGGGGTTCAGCTCTGTTGGACCAAATCAAGTTGGCCTGTGTTAAGTACCACATTTTAGATTCAAATCCCTGCTAAAGCCTCTGCTTACGCTGGTGGTTAACATTATTTTTATATCTGTCTTCGGAAATGAAAGACAGAAGCAGCTCACACATAGCAGCAACAGCAGCAGCAGCTTTTAAGGGCCGACTCCATAGATTAAAGGGTGATACACTGAGCACCACCACCCCAGTGTCTACTGATTAGGTTGGGAGAAAAGCTGAGTGACAAACATGTTTCCAATCTGCCTAGCCCATGCAGCGAAATGGAGCAATCTGGCCTGAAAAGGGATTTAGACTTTTGTTGTGCGCAAGGGGGGAAAAAGCTGATTTAAATCCATCAACAATGCTCTCCCTCTTGGTGATCTCAGAGATAAGGAACAGAGTCTGGACACAGTTCATATCCTACCTCTCACCAGGCCCCACACTTCCACTCAAAGACAAAAGCTGGCAGATGAGGGTAAAGGATGCTGTCTTGCTATTGAGCAGCCTGCTCACTTAAAAACATGTTGTACAATGCACGGAGCCTGCCTGGGGCATTTGATCTAGCAATTTTTCAAGTGCGAGTGAATCCCCAGCCCAAAGGAAGAGAAATATAAGGCCTTTTCGTTCACCAGGAACATTGCTATTAATTCCGTGGCGCTGTGGATGTATAGCGCTGCATGCGTAAAAAGGATCTTTAGAGACAGACAGAAAGGTCTTGCTCCAACTTGTTTACAGCCTAAACCAGAAAGACATCGCAGCAGAGAATAACGACAGCCTACAGCTCTTGTGTGGGGTAGGCAGAGGGAGAAGTGGGGCGGACAAAGAAGAGAGATGGCAAAAAACAAAGGCGAAGGAAATCAGGTTTCTAAGAGAGAGCTATTAGATCCCCTTACAAGGAAAGCAAATCACATGGTTTCCTTTATTCTGGTTATTTAATATATGCCATCCCGTGCATTTCAGTGTGACTGCCATAAGGAGGGAGCCATTACATTCTCTCTTTATCTCTTGTCACAAGGACTGAGAATGAGGTGATAACCCATTTTTCTGAAACCTCTCTCAGACCCTTGGAGAAAAAAAAAAGAAAAAAAAAAAAAAGAAAGAAAAAAAAAAAGATTTTGCCTTGTTTCATCTGAAAGAGATGAAAAGGTTAAAAAAAAATTGCAGTTCTGGTTGCCTATAAGCATATCTGCTCTTTGCTTATTTTTAATCGAGTTCGTTTTCTCAAATAAAAGCGAATGAACGAAGGGATGCATGCGCGGAAAGTCAATCCGTGCAAAAGGCAGAGGCTTGTTTTCTTGTGGCAGAAATGCAGATGATGCCCTCTGACAGTTGTGAAGAACACCAACAAAATGGTTGCTGGAAAATAGCAGCAATCACCTCTGTTACTCCATGGATGCCCCTCGCCATAGGCATTAGCGCAGAGCTTTCCCGGTCACAATTATTAAAACGGACTTCGGCAAGCCCTTATTGCTGCCATGTTTGGAGAGCAGCATTCAGATGCAGATTGCCTTAAATCCCATCAACCCATTCAAGCGTTTGTACGCAAGTGTGTCTGCCTCTGCTGCCTACGTGTGCGTGTGTTTGGGTGCATTTACCCACCTCCACAGCGCTCGCTCCGCGCACACCTTCCCTTCACCCCCTCGTTCGGAGGGAAAGAGCTAAAATTGTCAAAGAGGAGAATGCGAAATTTTCCAAGCTACTTTGTCAGATGTTCGTGTGCGCGTCTTATAAATATTTCATACCAAATATTTAACATTATTCCTTCCCCAATCGGATCAGCTTTGAAAT